TTAGCATTTATTAAACTTAAAAATTATTTTATTTAAATTTAAATATATAGTAAAATAATTAGTTTCGTAGAAAATTATATTTAGATTAAATAAACTGTTTTATGAAAATTATAATACATGTAGTTGTTTATTTTATTTTCATATATATTTTTAGTAGTGAAAATTTATTATTAGCTTTTTAAAAATATTTAAAGGTATTAAAATTTATTTTTAAAAACTCAAGTTTTCCAAAATAAGAAATCTTTAATTAAGAATCTAAAAATAAATATTAATTTTTGTAAATATATATTCTTATATTGAGAGTAGAGAAAGGATTTTATGATATAATGTATTCAGTTCTTTATTTTTATGTATTTATAGTAGGGAAATATTTATTTTTATCTCTTATAAATTTGTCTTTAAAATATAAACGTTTGTTTAAAAAATTCTTAAAAATAATGATTATTTATAATAAAAATACCTTGAAGTAAGACTTAAAACATCTAAAAACACACATATTCACTTGGTGTTTCAAACTCGAACAGTTAAAATGATATAAATTATTCTGTTATCAATATCACAGTTCGAAGTTCGATTTTAGATAGAAAGCTCTTCGTGTCTTTGCATTGAAGACTGCTGACTAAACCGACACGAAAAAAGAAGAAGAAGAAAAAAAAAACAGAGATAGTCATTTCCTATGGAATCTAGACTGAGTATAAACATTGTGGTCTAGATTCTGCTTTCAGATTCTTGAAATAAGTTTTCGTTACGTTTTATATCAAGGAGTAGAACAAAATCTGAACTCAGTCAACGGAGCAGAACATTTTTTTATGGATAGCTGGATTCCAGTTGTGATCTCACCATATGCAAATACAAGGCTCCAATTGCTTGCTCCTCAATAAAAACTGCATAGTCCAATAGCTATAACTTTAGCATCCGAACGTAATTTAAATTTTTGAAAGAGAAAAGAGTTTTTCATCATTTATGTGATTTTCAGAAAAGTTTTACTTGTTGAACAAAATTTTTCTTTTTACAAAATATTTTACTTCTCTAATAAATTATGCTAAATTTCTTTTTTTTTTTCTTTTTAATTTATCGACAAATTTTATCGTATTATTTTCTTCAGTTTTATAGTAATAAAAATAATGAATCTTTCCCAGTTGAATAAATTTCATTCAATTGAAAAATGAACGACTGTAAATTATTGGCTTTATAAAGGTCATTGGAAAAAATATTATACATACATATAAATATTGGCTGCTTCTTAATGAATTCTTTATAATCTTTTATGAATATTTTCTATTTTTATTAAAATATAATATATAAAGTTTAATAAAATGTATTTTTTAAAATTACATTAAGAACGTGAATAATTTATTGTCATTTTTGGAATATGAAATTTTTACAAATAAAAAAAAATTGAGGATTAAGTGGCAAAATATTTAATATTGAAAAAATATTTTAATGGATATTTAAAATCGGTTATAAAAAATTAATTTAAATCTAATAGCCAAGGCACGATAGAATAATTTTCTAAAATCCATTAAGTTGAAAAAAGAACGTATTTTAAGTGCAACAAGAACATTCCGGTTGAAGTAATCTTTTATTGTAGAAGCAGTTATCCGAATATATAAATCGAACGTCTGTTCTTAATTTATAAAGAGCTTTTTTTATCTAGGAAGAGAAAAAAAATGTGGTTGAGGAATATGCTAAATACGAGTTAAACGATTTCTTATCTACGAATAACAGTTATTCATACAACATAGCTTCATTTTTACATATCGATCCGCTGCTTAGTTTGAAAGTCAGATGAATATTAAATCATTCGAGACCACAATTAAAAAAAAGGGACAATTTGAAAGGAATTCATACGACGTGACTTGTTTCACGATAATACCGCTTAACTGTAAATGAGAAGTGAACACGACACAGCAAATATTCATTATTTTCGTATGACAAAAGAACAACGATCCACCCGTAGCAGTTTGTGAACAAAACATTAATCATATTTTGTAAATTTTCTGCTCATCGTATTCGAAAAGTTGATCGACCCAAAAGACGAAAGTTAATGGACCGGAAGATAAAGAAGATGAATATGTTTAAGTGTGGAGAACTGTAAACATAACTAGTGCCAGCAACATACGTCAGTAAATACCAATCAATGATATCTCGAAAAGTGTCTATTGTTTACTAAATTATTTATTATGCTGTTTATTTAAAGAAAACCATTTCTTTCGATAAATGCTATAATAGTTTATAAATTTATTCAATTTATTTTTTAATATTTATTTTCCTATCTCCTGAAAAGAATATTAATTTTATATAGCTTCTGATCAATTTCGAATTCCATCCTTATATAAGTTTTTAAACACGCGATACCTAGATAAGGGATTGCTTTTAATATGGATATTTTATAAAAGAAGATTACTTTTTCTCGGTGGCTAACAAAATCATCTTTTGATGTCAAAAGTAAAACCGCCAGTCTAAAAGAAATAGAGTGATCGATTAGTAGATGCAACGAAGTGAAGCAGTGAACAATATAATCTACAGTCTTTTGATTTTGACAGGTTAGAGATCAAATAATGTCACCTTGTCAATTCTGAGTAGTATAGCACTGCCTTTTTCTTTTAATTCCTATTCCTTTGTTTCGTATAAATTCCATAATTGAAATTCTTATTCTGTATAAAGTCACAAACAATACATATTTTGGTAGTTAAGAAGCATATTAATTTTTAAATATTTTAATATTGGGAACAAACACAAGTAAATATTTAATATTGTTTTTAAAAAGAATAGAAAGCTTTTAAGAATAACAATAAATATTTTATTTCAAGATATTGTTATTATATAACAAGATTAATATATTCTAAATTTCTCTTAATTACAGCAAGATTTATTATTTAATGTATTTAATAATTAGCCATAAAGAGAGCCAAAGAGAATAATTTATGCATCACCTCAAAGGAAAATTATAGAAGTGAACAAAATTTTACTAGTTTCAAGAGTAAATACAAAATTTACTTTTAACAATCCTATTAAGTACAAGAGTCAATAAGATGACGATTTCGTTTCCTAGCACTGTTTCCAATTGAGTGAAATTTGTTGTAGATTAAAATAAATGTTCCCACAAATAACAGCAGCAAGTAACTTTGTCAATTGTCAAGTGTAGTTATCCTGGGATTATTGCAAAAGACAATTTTCAACTTTATTCTCANTCCTTATATAAGTTTTTAAACACGCGATACCTAGATAAGGGATTGCTTTTAATATGGATATTTTATAAAAGAAGATTACTTTTTCTCGGTGGCTAACAAAATCATCTTTTGATGTCAAAAGTAAAACCGCCAGTCTAAAAGAAATAGAGTGATCGATTAGTAGATGCAACGAAGTGAAGCAGTGAACAATATAATCTACAGTCTTTTGATTTTGACAGGTTAGAGATCAAATAATGTCACCTTGTCAATTCTGAGTAGTATAGCACTGCCTTTTTCTTTTAATTCCTATTCCTTTGTTTCGTATAAATTCCATAATTGAAATTCTTATTCTGTATAAAGTCACAAACAATACATATTTTGGTAGTTAAGAAGCATATTAATTTTTAAATATTTTAATATTGGGAACAAACACAAGTAAATATTTAATATTGTTTTTAAAAAGAATAGAAAGCTTTTAAGAATAACAATAAATATTTTATTTCAAGATATTGTTATTATATAACAAGATTAATATATTCTAAATTTCTCTTAATTACAGCAAGATTTATTATTTAATGTATTTAATAATTAGCCATAAAGAGAGCCAAAGAGAATAATTTATGCATCACCTCAAAGGAAAATTATAGAAGTGAACAAAATTTTACTAGTTTCAAGAGTAAATACAAAATTTACTTTTAACAATCCTATTAAGTACAAGAGTCAATAAGATGACGATTTCGTTTCCTAGCACTGTTTCCAATTGAGTGAAATTTGTTGTAGATTAAAATAAATGTTCCCACAAATAACAGCAGCGAGTAACTTTGTCAATTGTCAAGTGTAGTTATCCTGGGATTATTGCAAAAGACAATTTTCAACTTTATTCTCACTGTATTTTATTTTCTAAAGTATAATAATTATTTTTATTAATGCGACTTGTAGACTTGACTTTATTGATTAGATTGGGTTTACATTTTAGATTAAGGTTTTAATTTTTATTTATTTTCTAACAAATAAAAGTAAATTTTTAATATGTTTTAATTAAAGTTTTAGTCGTATTAATGGAGATTTTTTTGTATTTTTCATTAAAACTAAATTAAATTTGTTTAAATAAAGAACAAATATAAACATTTTGAATTTAGTTAAAATTGGAAAATTTTTTAAAATATTTTTTCTGTTTTAAAGTAAAGAACTTTTAAAATATTTTTATTTTTTAAAACTCTTCTTTCACTGTTTAAAAATAAATTGTTTTCTGTGTTCAAGGTAATTGAACGTCAAATCTAATAAGTGAATTAAATATATTAGTTTAAAAATTTTACTAGTTAGTGCGACTAAATTTTTTGAATCCCTTGCCCACATCCATTTCTAGATCCATTAAAAATTTAAAACACAAAGAAAAAATTGTTGATAAAATAAAAAGTTTTATTATAAACTTGAAGAATATTTAAAGAGTATTATAAATGTTGAATGAATATGTGGTTATAAAGACAAATATTTCAAAGCAGAAACAACTTCGTTCAACAGGAGCCTTTCGAAAGGAAATTAAATATTACATCAATGAAACTCTAGGGAAATTTCACCATTCTTTAAGTGATGTTTTTTATTTTCAGCTATATTTTACCTTAGGGGAATGATCACACTCGGTAATTTCTGTAACAGCAAAATTACTGTTTATTACAAATGTTAAAATCATCTTCGTGATTGATGATTAGTATTCTATTTACATGTAAATGAATTATTAAGATGATCCAATATAGCTCGAAGTATCTTGGAGTAAAGAAATAAATGACTAAATGTGAATATTTGTAATATGCAAATGATATTTTTCAGAAGCACCGATGGCACCGAGAATAGAAGATAATACAATACAATTAAATCCTGGAGATTCCTATAGAACTCGTTCTGGTGACAGCAAGAGAATCCATTGCGTATCAAGGAAAGGAAATCCTCCGGCTGTACTGAAATGGTATATTGACGGTGTAGATATAACATCAATGTCTAATCAAACCAATACTACCGACGTTGATAAAGCCAAGACGTGGCAAGCAATTAGTCTCCTCGATTATACTTTCCACAAAGAACATAACGGAAAATCTTTGCAGTGCAGAGCTTACCATCCAGCGTACGAAAAAGAATATTTAGATATAACGGTACTACTTGAAGTTTTATGTAAGTATAACTAAATTATTGAATATAAACCAGTTAAGTTAATTCCAAGCTGTTTAAATGCTACGATTCATTTAAAATTTATTNTATACAGCAGGTGGATGGAACCGATTCCAGAAAATATACTTTAAATGTGGAAAACGATAAAGGGAGAGAATCTTATGCGGTTTTATTAGAAGTTAGAGGTATACAGATTCTCCGATCATCAAATTAATAGGGAATACAAAGGAAGACATCGAAGAAGGCAAGTCGTTGTCTCTGAAATGTGAAGCCGATGCTAATCCTAAAGCCAATATCATCTGGAGAAAATCCGGTAACTCAGGGATCTATGATATCAAAGATCAAATAGACTTTTCACCCATCAAAAGAACAGATACCGGAATTTACAGCTGTTCTGCAAAAAATGACGTTGGTCAAAGTGAAGAACTAGAAGTGACTGTAAAATCCATTAAGTTGAAAAAAGAACGTATTTTAAGTGCAACAAGAACATTCCGGTTGAAGTAATCTTTTATTGTAGAAGCAGTTATCCGAATANTTATTATTATTTTAATCAGAAAAATTTTTATTATAGATCCTGTTTTCGGTATAAATGACGTCATGCATACGTAGCCTCGACCTTAACCTTGTCCTGAAAATTCCCTTGTCAGAAATACGGTCAGTCACCTGTATGTTTACTGATGATCCTGCTAGGTGGGTTATCTTATACAGGTACCTTTCGAAAAGAACCGTATATGGAAGTCGATTATCTATCCATTGTTGACGTGTTTCGTCTTCTAATATCGAACTTAGATCAAAGAAAGTAACGCAAACGTCACTAACTTCGTCACAATACTTACGTACCTTCATTAAACATAGAGTTTAAAACTGTGTGTTCTTAACCAATAAAAATGATAAAAAGTTACATTTAGAAGAGAATTCATCAACTTTTAATCATTTTTAACCAATAAAATTAAATATTTTTGATATAAATTATCAAAAATACTTTTAATACTGTACTTTTGATATAAATTGAAAATGGAATTTTGCAGATAGGCCAAAAATACTGCGAGTCGATCCGTCGCCTGCTTCAACAGTAGCTCTTTATAATTCGACGAAATTACTGTGCGTTGCCGAAGGAAACCCAGTACCCAAGTAAGTGCTTTATTGAAATAAAAAACGTTATTCCAATTATACGAATGTAATAAAATGGAAGATAAACATTTCTTTTATACTGCAAACTTTCGCTTCTCGGAGAATCAAGTAAACACTAAAAAGTAAAATATACGAAAAATTTCATGATTCTTTCTTTTATTTATAAATTGTTATCCACGGTTTTACTACCTTGAGTCAATTTATATTCTTTGGCGATTTCAACACAAATAGCCAAATTTCTTTAAGCCGTAAGACATATCTTATAGGTTTTTTACTTTGGTATGAAAGGCATCGATACAAACATATCTATAACGATATATTATTCCAGGCAAAAATTCTAAGAAAAAATATATAAAAGATAGTATCGAGATCTGTTTGCGCATCATTGAGTCTTCCAATGGTGACACTACCTGCTTACCTTGGGTTTGTATTTGTCCGGCTTCCAGCAGATAGCGCCATCAGTCAGTGACATTGTTATAAATGATGTTATTTTTCTCCATGCTTTCTCTGCAAAGTGTATCTTTACGTCCCATGATAACGTATCAATCCAGTAACTATACAGTCACTAGTCAACGCTCATCTCTATGTAGTAGTCCTTTAGGGATTTGTTCAGCCAGTTCAGTAAACAGCATTCTGAAATTTATTTCGGAAAGGTCATATGTGCGACTCGTTCCTCTTCATCATAGACCATTCAATCTTACAAAATTATATATAGCTGATTGTGGATAGAATGGGTATCTCGGCCACTCTTAACATTTAAACAGTTCTTTTATGGCTAAACCAATATATTTTCTACCTGATTTCCACAAGAGAAATGTTTCAAGATGTTATTAAATCAATTTTATACTGTATTTAGATTTCCGTAGCTTGTAGAATACCTTAAGAAATAAACTTTCCTTCGCCATATTGTCAGGTTGAGTATCATTTATCAGAAAACTTTATAGAATTCATATAAATAATTTATAATCTGCAAAAAGAAATCTGAAAGTTAAACATGCAATGCAATACATATTATAATTTATGAATATCATAATAAATATTAATTATTATCTTTAATTTTTCACGAATAGATTTAAATGCGTATTCATTACAAAATTTTTATTATGTATATTAAATATTTTAGATAGCTAATCGTTATGGGACATTAAATAGAAAATTATTTTTCCCTACAGATATTCGTGGCTTCAGAAAATAGGAGGGGAGCCCTTAGTGTGGTTAGAACGTGGTAATAATTCTACTCTTTTCGTCAGCAACGTTACCTACATGTACCAAGGTCACTACATCTGCGAGGTCTCTAATGTTATCAATGGAAACGAATATAAGGCAACCTCTGAGGAAATCACCTTAGATGTCACTGGTAATCTCTTGGGTTCACATTTTAAAACTTTTACCACTATAGCGACGTCTTCTATGATTTATTACTTGATACTAGTAGTTATGACAGCGCACTGCACAGTAAAATTTTTCACTAACAATATTGTTTCCTTTAAAATAATATATAAAGGTGTTTTAACTGTAGAAAATTTAAATTGAATTAAATGAATAATGACAGAAGACATTTATTAATGTGCTGTTTAATTAAAGGTGCTCCTCAAGTGCTAACAAATACTACGAAGACAAAGAAAAGAGTTGTGGTTGAGAAAGACGAAGATGCCACAATGACAGTGTTCTTCTGCTCGGATCCGCAGCCACGGCGTACATTTTGGGAATGGGGAAGTTCGAAACTAGACACAGGATCTGATCTGGTGCGTTATATTGCAGAACCATTACTTCCGGTACGTATGTATATATACTATCTGTAATTAAAGTTTTTAAAATTTAATACAATTGATAAATTGTAGTTTTTATTCCTGTAAAACTGATGAACGAATAATACAAGATTTATCATGAAAAATAAACTCCTAGCATTACTGCCTAAATTTGGATTTACTTAACTTAAAGATCAAATTGGTATGCAATAAATTTTCGCATTTACGTAATCGAGTATCTGTCTGTTTGTAAATAATGCACAAAAGTTTAAAATTTGTGATAATTGCGATTTAATCTATCGCTTATTAAAGGATAAAATTTTCATGATTTGTAGATCAATTTATTTCACCATTTACTTCCAATATAGCAAACGTAGATAAATTAGAGTTTGGCATGATTAATTGAACTAGAATGGTTATCTAGCGTCACAGCAGTTTCAGTTAATTGGTTTATATGATGTGATGTGTACTAATAAGCTTGTTCAAATTAAAGAAAGCAATGATTTGTTTTCAGGATTTAAGGCAGGGAGATTGTTACGAAGCTAGGTTGATTATACAGCAGGTGGATGGAACCGATTCCAGAAAATATACTTTAAATGTGGAAAACGATAAAGGGAGAGAATCTTATGCGGTTTTATTAGAAGTTAGAGGTAAATTTTTAGAAAAATATGAATTATTTTGAAAATTTTTATTTAATTTAATCTTAAATTTGAATTTGTGTGAGAAACTGTCATGGAATTTAAATAGTAAAAATATTTTTACTATGTTTTAATGTTTACACGAATCTTAAGTATATATCATTTATATTTATGTCTTTTTTCTTTACATATTGATATATTGCATATGAACATCGGCATTTATATTCTACATGAAGGATATATATTTTTATTAACCTCCAAAATGTAAAGTTTAGTCTTACAAATTTTGAATAATTTGAGAGAAATTCCTAAAAACTGTAGATAAATATGAGGAATAACTTTAAAATATCAAATAATAGTCAATTCTATAGTTTTTGATTGTTTCATTACGTTTACTGCTTATTAAATGAAGAGTATCGGAGTATTAATTCTTGTTAAAATTCTGTAATGATAAAAGAATTGTAAGGAGAAGATATCTTCCATGAATTCAAACGAAGAACTTAACTAAAAATAAATGCAAATATAAAAGGTAAAATATGCCTAAGGTGCAACTTAATTCAAATTGGCTACGTGCAAATAAAGTTTATAACCAAGATATAGCACCGAAGTGATTGGGTTAATTATGGTGAATAGTACTTGTACGGATCCGTGAGCTATTATTTAACAAAAGAGTTTTTCTTTCACGACTTCTCCATAAATATCCAATCTAATGTTTCTCGAAAAGAAAGAAATTTCAAGTTTTACTGATCTTATCAAACAAGAGAAGTATAACATCTAATTTAACGTTAGTCTGTTATCTGACAACAAGTTTATTAAGTTATCAAACTAATAATATTCTAAATATATGTATCATATAACCTTCCAAATATCAATTTAGATCATTAACTAAGGATAAACATTGTCTTACACTAATCTATGAAAGAAATCTTATAAGCTTTTGATGAGAAAGTGGGAACGATTTACAACCTATTAGCTAAGTATCAAGCAATCTATCTGGAGAGAAAAAAGTAGTAGGTAACCGAATTACTAAGATCAGAATTTTATGGGGAAATTTATTTCGACCTTTGGGTTGAATTCAATCCAGTTCTAATTTGAGTTATTTTGGAGGTGAACCAAAATACATTTGAAAAAAGCGACTTTGGAACATTTCTTTGATCAAAAGAAATGTTGTTATTCGTTCATGCATTCTCGATAATGCTTTCTACGTCCAATGCTCGTTGAACATAACATAAAGAAACTCTACTTATCCTATTTCAATATATTCTATACAACGTCATGTTTAAGTATATCATCAATTTGAAAAATGACATATTAAGTAAAAAATATATCATTGATTGTAACTATATTTACATTTTTACTTGAATCAAATAATTATTTTGCTTATTAAAATTTCTGAAAATACAACCTAAAATATCCATACTGAAACTTCCATATTTTCATGTCATTTTAAATGGGAGATTTTTGATATTTTTATAATTTAATTTATAAAGATAATGTATAAAAACCGGAATATTTTTAATAGTTTTATTAATAAAAGAAAGTAGAAATTGTTTTTAAATTTATATTTTATTAAACTAATTTACTAACATAGAGTAAATATCACATATAGACCTATCTGCATAATTCTATTTTAATAAAGATATGTTATAATATATATAAATAACTGTCCGTGAAATCGATATATATATATGTATCGATTTAAGGGACAAAAATATAATAGAATAACAAAGTAAAGGTCGAAAGTTATTATTGATTTGATGCTTTATATAAATTATAGGATGTAGTTTTAATAGTAATTTTCTTCGTAGAGAATTTTGTTAATAATAATGTTTATTAGTTTTTTCTTATAAATTGATAAATACACATAAAAATAGATATACATATGTCAAAAGGATAAATTTTTATAATGATTTATGATAATAAATACAAGTTTTTTTTTTTATTGAAGATATTCCAAATATGCTAAATTTAGAATTTTATATTTATGTCATGCTTATTATTAATAGGATATTAAATCTTATATTAAAAATTTTCAATATTTATTATATTAATGTAGAAAATTCAACGAATTTATTTAATTTTACGATTTAAAATTAAAGATACTTAAAGTTTGTATTTATTTTTCAGATTATTTTATATTACAATATGATTACATTATACATGATATAATTATAATTTTTAAATTGGATTTAAATTAATATCAAATTATCTAAATTAGACAATTATGATAAATTATTTTATAATATTAAGTAATTTATAATAACTTTTAAGTAATTTTGATTTTAATGTCAAAAAATATTTTAAAAATTGTATGAAATTATTTTTTTTCTAGCTAAATTAATATATTTTCTATTAACTTTTACATCATTAATATATTAGCTAGAATTTATTTAAAATTATTTATTAATATAAATAATTCTTATAAATGAATGTTTTTATTTCTGCTGCAATTTTAAAAGAAAAAAAAACAAATTACAATTTTGATATTATTGTACAGATCAGATTATATTATTTTTTTATCATATATATGTATTAGTTTTATTTTACTTTCAGAACCAGTTGCCATGTCTGTAGTGATTGGTATTGTTGTTGGATGTATTGTGCTGCTCATCATCGTGGTACTTGTAGTTCTTTATCTTCTGAAGTCAGACCGTCTATGCTTCAGCCGTAAGTGCCATTATCGCTTATTATTGGATTCTCGGGTTTCTTAGTAAATAATGCATGCAGCATGCACACATTTTATTTCTTCTGCTTGGATATTCTGCGAAACACAATGCCATATATTTCTTTATTTTTGGTTTTATTCGATTTTTTATTTTATTACGATATAATCCACATAACCACAAACAAAATTTTTGAAAGTTTATTTATCGCAAAAATCTGAGCGAAAATATATCGAATTTGTTTTTATCTCGAACTTAAATCATAATAAATTCTTTGTATAAAAATAATAATTAAAATATGTTTTAATTTTAGTGAAATTTAAAAATAGATTAATGTTTTTAATTTTGAAAACACTTTAAAAATCAACGACACACTTAAAAATTGTTATTTTAACGTTATTTTTAAACTTGTTATAAGCAAGTATTCGCAAGTAGACGATATCATTTATCAATTGATCATGTTGTATAAGTTTTACGAAACTTCTACACCCAATTATCTTCTCTGTACTCTGTTTACGTATTAAAATAATTTACTTCGTGGGATCAATCCTCTTTTAGAGTAGATTGCAACCTTAATTGAATTCCGTTTTGTTAATTTCAAAAGTTGTATGAAAGAGACGACTTCCAGCTTAGTTTGGAGGTGACTGTAGAGGATGGATATTTTTCTTAAACGAGAGGCTTCTTCAACAGGTTCTTCATTCTTGTTTGATAGATGAATTCGTTGTGATGTAATTAAACGTTGAGACGTGTCGTGTTTGTTTCATGTCATGGCTTTGATTGATTGGTATCTGCTAGTTGTGTTTCTCACATGTCGTCCCACTGTCCCAGCTGTCTAATTAATCTTAACAATGACAGTTTCTTGATTCTGAACATAATAGCTTTTCATTTATTAATAATAAGACTGCTTTCAATGAGTATCACGTGTTTTTTGTCTTATTCATAACTACTACACAACTGAAGTGTTCTATATCTGATTTACGAAAGGAAAACAACGAGAAAGTTGTTGACACAAATTATCGTTCCAAGTACTTCACTCATCTTGTCTGACGTCAATTCAAGACGTAACATACAAGATTTCATCTTTCCAAGATTCTATGACAATTAATAAATTCTTTTTTGAAGTGTTTTTTCATAAAGCTTTCGAATTTTTCTGCAGAATTAATATTCTTTTCTGTCAGCTTATTATTATCTTTCTATAATTTATTTTTAAAATATAATTTATAATTAATTTAAACAAATTTAATTATCAAAACTAAAAATTTTGTTTTTACTTTCATTCTTCGAATGTTAAAATGTTTTAATAATCAATAATTAATATAAAGTAAATTTAATTTATTTTAAAAATTGTTAAAAATTTGCTGTGATTATTTTATTTTATTTTTTTCTTTCTGGAAAACTACAATTTATTTATTAATTTAACGTATCGAAGATTTTTTTAATAAATTGCTGATACGGAAGCATATGGATTAATCAGAATATAATACATCTTCATTTCTGAACCTATAAAATGGAAATCAATGAGACCATAAGGCAAGGAAGCAGAAACGAAGGGCAAAAGTGAAATAAAATGGATCGCACTTTAGGAATCTCATATTTTGTATTTGACTTGAGTTATGAGAAATCACAGAAAATAGTAATCAAGAAAAAGCTTTCCGGTATGAATAAATGATTCGAGGTTTAGAAACCGAGTTATTACTTTGTGAAATAAGTTAAAAATTCAATTTATCTCAGAAAATGTTTACGAGTTTGTCATAGACATAGATTTTTGCCTTTAATGGTCAGAATTTTGAAATCTGAAAGATTTCTAAAGCACCAGTTTATCAATTTCTAGTAGTGGCTGCTGCTCTTGCAGTAATTTTTTCCATTTAAGGTTAATATTTCCTGCTTATACGAATACTATTGACTTACACTTAAAATATAAATTATGAAAATCGTATGCTTCTAAAGAAATAACAATTTATATAAATTCTGCAGATATCTTTATTCAAAATTATAGACCGTTTGACATTTATATATTATACATTATTCAGTATCATTTCGAAATAACTTTTCCTCTTTTCATATTCTAAGATTTATTTATTTTAACATTAATTTTTAAATATTTAATAATGATAATACTAAAATAAAAAATGAATGATAGTTTGTAAGGTAATTGAATAATTTGAATAAATAATTTACATAATAGTTTTATAATTGAATAATTTGAAAAAGAAAATGACACGTATAAAGTTTACGTTCTCTTCATAAATTTCTAATATTAAATTTTTGAATCACTGTTGAATTCACTCATTTCCATATCACTCAATAAAGTTTTCTAATCCATAAATTTTATTATAGCCGCGAATATGTATCATTAAGAATATCACTCTCTTAAATCAAGGAAAATGAATAGTTCTTAAATACGATACTTAAATTATTTCATGTTTTTTAAACTCTATTATTAAAATGCGTGTTTATTTCTTACGTTTTGCTGTTTTTTTCTTTTCTGTTTTAACATTCGTGTTTGTTTGCACGTATTAAGTTACAATGGAATGCAAATATATCAGCATGAAAATTTATAAAAGTAAATTTGAAAAGCTCGTGTTAATTTTATTTGTAGTTATATTTTAATTTAACAAAAAAAGATATGTATGTAAAATAATTTAAATATCTCAACGTAATTGTTCTTCTGGAAGTGTGGATAACATCATAACTATTATTCCTTCCTCTCCAGGCACGAAACACAGCGGACAAAGATTGCCACAAGACGAAGAGACAAAAATAACGAATATTCAAACATTATAACATGGATGAGGCTTTAGTTCCTCTATTCAATTGCTGTTTGCATCATTTATGGAGGTTCTCAAATTATGAAAAAGTCTACTTAAACGTTATAGCGGTCAACGATTTGGAACTGACCACGTTTGGCCGTTGTATGCGTGTGCCTCGTTGTAAAGAGTGTTGGACATGATTGTTCACGTTGGAAACGATGTAAATAGACATATTTCTCCCCGATTCCTAAATTATGTTTACAGTTTCCGTAAAGAGAAAAAAATGGACAATATCAATCAACTGCTACTTGTTTTTTGTTGTCTACCCGCTCTGCTTTATCATACCGAAGACTGCTGTGCTGGGTGTAACCTACTTCACCATGCTCTGAGCCATTATGGTGAAAACATTAGAATAGGTGTCTGTAGGAACATCTTAGCAAACTGCTGTCTGAGGAAAGTTATTAGGCTGTGACACATTGTCTGCTCCCAGTCTACTCTGTACTTTGTACAGATTATGCTTATGTGAATAAACTTTTTAAGAAAATATCATGTTATCTCTCATTTTTGTACTAACTGAAATGTTTTTTATAGAATTTGATTGTTTTAAAATCTATGTTAACAAATTTTTGAAACGTTTGATATATTTTAATGGAAATATTATGTATTTTTATTTAAATTTAAACAATTTACTTTTTAAATATCAAAAATGAAACAAAAAGGAAAAATAATTACATTTATGGATTTTTACAGATCATGTGTTGAAAATAAAGAGAAAAATCATTATCTGTTTAAATAAGCTATTTGAATATAGTAATTATTAAGAAATGTTTCCAGTCGCAATTGTTAAAGTAGTTGATAAATATTTTTTAAACGTAACTTGTTGTTTGTATCAATTATCTAAGTTTTCTTCACACAATTTATACTTGATATTCATATTTAACTTTTTTCTTTGAAGCTCTTATCAAAGTTGTCAGATGTTTGGATCTTGACATCTTTAAATCCAAGATACTTTACAGGAAACATTCTCAACTTATCTATAAGAGAAAAAGAACATTTTAGCCATTGTAATGTAAAAAAAAAGTGATTGATTGCGAAGTGATATTATAGTGGAAGTTTAATCATGTCTAACAAAATTAGTTCTTGTCAAATTCAGGTGCTGAAAACAAATTTTTCATCTCTTAATTCTTTAAAATTCGAGTAATGGTTTACATTTGATCTCATTTAGCTTCACAGACATCAAATCAGTTCATATTGCACACGACATCTGTTTCATTTGGTACAATTGTTCTCAAATTAGCTTCGTTTCTGAATTTTCAGAAGTTATTCAGTTTTATCAAATTGATAATTTCAAATCACTTAACTACAGTTTGATTTTTAAACTATCCAGATGCTTCTAAGTATTCATTTTCATTATACATTTATTTTAAAAATTTCAAAAACAATGACTAAAATAAAAATCTTAACCGAATGTCTCTGACAGTATTTTTCTAATTTCTTTAATATTAATGTAGGGGATACATCAATACGAAAGATTAATTATTCGTTATTGGGATATTAAGATTTGTTTTAAATCATTAAAAAATTTTAGAGTTAAATAATATTTTCTAAATTAAACCATAAAATTTAAATTTATAAGTTTATCGAGAATAAATTTTTATTTAATATAGTTAAAACGAGAAAATGAATATAAAGTCGAAGTTTTCAAGCATTACATGTTCACGACACCATTTACAAATATTGATTTGTATTTAACGAAAAATTTATTCCTGTAAAAGTTCTATATCGAATCAAACGTTAAGTCTCGATTTATAATATTTTACATATTCCAATTTTATTTATATGCACAGTTTCCGCTATTGAGAGTCCTCGTGTGGCAAGAGCATAAAAATGTTTTAACAAGATGGAATAAAATGTCTGTAACCGTCTTTTCAATCTTGTTTTCTTCAGCACCTTCTTCTACTGCTATTTCTACAATAGGTGAAAAAGCAAGCTTAAAAATTCAACTATAAGCTATTTGATTAAAGACCCCGAGGGTGTAAAACAACTTGGAATTCTGCCAAGTTCAAAATGTGTCAAGACAACGACAATCAATTGACAGTACCTATCTAGTGATTTTTTTTTTCTTTTCGTATGTGCAATTTTGTTGTTTCTACTGATTACGGCCACAAATTTTGTAATAAAGGCCTACGAAAGTTGATTGTTAGAATAAAAGCTCGGTTTTAATAATACGAATAAATATTTAGAATGATTCTTTCATATCATTTGTTTTTTTTTCTTTGAGTTGGCATTCAACCGAAGTCATTATTGCTTCAAGAAAGTAAGGTTTACTTTAATTTAAAACGATAGAATTCACATTGGCTATGCACGTACTAAATGTATTTCTGCCAAAAATGAAAACGAGAAAGAAGCTATTTTTGGAGTATCTATCATATTTAACCGTAACATTCGACTTGTTTAAACTTTAAAGAAAAGAAAAGAAAAAAAATTCTTTTAATAAATGCACTACTGTTGCTGTAGAAGGGAAAAAATATATTAATCTTGACGAGTCAACTAGAAAGTTTCACTGGTGAGTTCTAATGATGTCGTGTGCATGATACATTTTTTTTCTTCCTTTTTTTTAACCAAATGTATCTTGTTATTCTAAGCATGGAATATGTCTTAAGTTTAACGAAAATATTCATTTAAGATAAATTGTGCTGCTAGTTTTCGTGTGTTTAATAAAATTTACAGATATTTTCTTTAATGAAATTAGCATATTTTATTTGATTTTAAAATGGAACGTGTTTTATTTACGTTAATTTTATTAAATAATTTTAGTTACTTCATCGCTATTTATATAAAACTATAAAATAATATCTATAAAAAAATATGCAATGTGTATGTATGACATTCGTGTTTGTTTGCACGTATTAAGTTACAATGGAATGCAAATATATCAGCATGAAAATTTATAAAAGTAAATTTGAAAAGCTCGTGTTAATTTTANAATATATTATTTATTTTATAAAAAATTAATTTAAAAAATTATTCTTTATATTTAATAGGAAAACAGAGATTCAAGACCGATGCAGGAAGGTAAATATACAAAATTTTAATTTTACATACTTATCAGTTAATTAGTTTTATATTCTTTTAAATATTAAAGTTATTGAGTAAACGAATTTAAATAAACATTTTTAACAATTTTCTAGAGAACTTATCTATTAGATGAATATTAAAATAATACGAATTAATAATTTATATGTAGTGAATTAAGCAAGCTAATTAATTTAGCAAATATTAATTTACTTTAATAGTCTATCGTAGACGTTTAATATAAATTAATAGTCCGGTAGATTTATGCTACACGTAGATGTGTGCAAATGTTACATTTATTAGCATGGGAACTGTTGTCATTACAGAATATAGGAAATGTTTGCAGTCAGGTTATGGTTTATTCCGTTCAATTAAGATATAAAGATTTATTTATAGGGAACCATTAGGCATTTATCAATAGTCGAACTTGAAAATGTTCATGTCTCATTATAAGAAATCATTGAAAAGTAGCATTTGTTCCAATGTGCAAATTACATTGGAACAACCAGTCTGAAGAGGACACTCACATTTATCACTTGACATTGATTTTCTTTAACGAGAGAAGCCAAGACAAATTACATAGACTCGGTATTAAAGCGATCTTTTCCGGAGTTATTTTTTTATTATTATTTTTTCTGCTGACAAGTTGGTTTTATCATTTACAGTTGGCATTATACGGATCTAGGGAGAAGCTTGCAACTCTAAGATAACGAAATCATTTGAACTAATATAAAAACAGATCGTAAAACAGCCGATTTAGTAAGAGGAATCTTGTGAAATGTTCGCTCGAGTTAAGCTAACTGGAAGGACTTGGTGTCAGGCTTGTTTTTCTCGCCTGTTTACACTTCACTTAGCTGAGTATCGAGTGCAGGAAATGACACCCGCACTGTTATCTTCAACGGACTTTTCACTTAAACTTTGTTCCTCAAATTACTGGACAAGATCCCAACCGAAAGAACTGACGAAGAAAATTGTCTTCACTAACATCCGTTTTGTACAAAAAATTGAGTCTCTTCAATCTCGCTAGACTTTTCTTGCTACTCTGGGTTGAAACGGATGACCAAATTGATGGACTTCAACTACGAAAAGCACGATTACAATGGAAAAGATCCGTATGAATAACTTCATCTTACAAATCCCTTACATTTACTAAAGAAACCTTTTTATATCTAGTAGATTTTCCATTTAATTTTACCATTGCCAAAAGCGGAAGCGAGGAAGAAAATTACTTCGCTTCGTTCTTCTCATTTTTTTTTTAATTTCGACGATTACTTTTTTAAACGAGAAACAAACGACGAAAAGCATTTATTAGAGTGTGACATGACATTCTAAAGATATTAATTTTAATCGAACATTTAGTGAAGCAAACGAGATAAATCACCGAGTCTAAATCGGATTTACGAGTTAAATTGCTTGTAAATATAAAATTCAATTTTATATTTAGTATGTTCAACATCTTCTATCGCCATCTGGTGACAATATTTGAAAATGTTTAAAAAAGTTCTTCAAAACTTTTTAAAACTTTCAACTCCATTTTGAGAATATCAATCATGAACGACCGAAGATATACAGACTGTGGGATTACGTAAACAATCCCGCTAAAAATATTTATATTTTAGCTTAAACTATATGTTTAGGTAATATAAAAGAGGTGTCGAATGTGTTTAGTATCATCCTATTCTCTCTTTAATATTATTTATGTTGGAAAAATGGAAGATTCATCTTATATTAACGAACTCTCGGATGTTGTAGAAGTGTTGTAAATACTTGATTGTATCATAAAGCAACTTCTTTCTATTTGTTTGACGCATTCGTTGAGTCGCATTGAATTGGATTTTCGACGTTATCAAGGAAGAAACCAAGTAAAACTCTAAAAACTCCGGATTTCTATCAACTGGAAAGTCTGGGATTTCATTGCCTAGAGACATTCATGACTACTTTGTCTTCAAATATATAAAAGTTTAGTCTATCCAACTTTTCTCCCCCTCTTCTCCTTTCTTTTTTCTTCTTTTCAATCAAAAACTGCCGTTTAAGAAAAGTTAACAGATTTTTGAAAGGAAATTTAGATTTTTAATATATATGCAGAAAAGTTATAATTCGAGTTTCATTTAAATTTAGATGAGTGGATTTGGTGACATTATTTTATTAAGAGTCGAAATTCTAATTTAGAATTCGCAGCTGGCTCGCATTCCATTTAAAACGGATAATTTGACTCTTTAATACGAAAATTAAAAATAATATATTCATTCTGTAACGATTAGTCCTTCTGTAATTAGCTAATTTGACTAATGTTAAATTAACTTTAGTATATTGATCGTATACTATCGCTTTTCATATATACAGACCTATCTATAATGGAATAAATGTCATCAAATGTACAGCTTGAATAGATTCTTTCAAACTTTCGAGTTTATGTAAGATAATAGAAAATAATTTCAAAAATACTTACAAATTTTCTAACGTACTTGATACGAATGCGGATGATTCGATAAGGGCCATCGACGTTGAGTTGTTTGTTAAATCGGATCATCTTCAATTTCCTTCAGAAAATTTAACAGATGTTGTTTAAAAATTTATTGTTTAACTCTAGACTTGCAGACAGATTATCAATTCTAACTTAATTCGAATGGTTTATCAGCAATTAAATTATCAATCGTTCAAAATTGTTCGACTGGAAGTTAGAATCATTACAACGTAATTTATTCATTAAGATCCATTTACATATTTTAAATGTAGAATCAAACTTTGTAATTAGTCAAATGTCTTATATAAGGAAAACATTTTAAGATTTGGAATAAAATACATAATCCTATTTTAAATAAATTCTCTAAAACCAAGCCTTTTTAAATCTTTCCTTAAGCTTATTGTATTCAATGTATGTCAATTCAAAACATGCGAAAATGTTGCTGCTCTTCGATCAACAACGTCTATACAATATCATATATTTTCTGAAAATTGAATATTTATAAGTTGCTGATAAAGGATTAATGTGGTTTATAAACACGATCCACATCTTTATAACCGACAATAATGTACTTGAAAGCAAGAATAAAGCAGGTATTGAACTATACTCTACCAGGATCACTCGATAACATTGTATAAATAGAAAAAAAAAGGATTTTGTTTCCTCCGGTATCACAAGTCATATCCGAAAAGTGACAAAAATTGGTTCTTTCACGATGTTCCTAATAAAAACAGGACTAAAGATTCCTTCACTATATCCAATGAGAAAAATATATCACTACAGATACTGAAATAAGATTCGTTCGATATTTATGAATTTCTTTTGTTAAATTTGTGATATTACCAATTGAATTGTTTATACTTTAGCGACTGTTCTAAAAGATTCAAATATTAATTTTTTGTAAACATTTTATTGACAAAAAATATTTTAAAAAACACCATTCATATAAAGCCGATTTTTACAATTGCTATTTTTATTTTCTTTTTAAAAAGTGTCAGTAAACAATTTGACTAAATTTTAAATTTTGTAGACTAGACTGCTTTTTTTTACTCAATCAACTGATTTCAAATTAATGAGGTTTTCTTTCGCGATCACAAGCAGTAGTTATATTATGCTGGTCATTAATTCATTAATATAAAATTACTGCTACAAAAAAGTCTGCTTACAGTTTCAAAATTAAATATTATATACGTAAAAAAATAAAATATTGTGTCTAGTTAAAATGATAAAAAATCTAATCCGGCTTAGAATAAGACTTTAAATATTAATTTAGGGAAAATATTAAAATACAATTTTAGAGTTTTTTTTTATTTTAAAGCTGTATTTTTGTATTTTATTTAAAAAGCGAAAAATACAAAAAATACATATTTTTTGTGCTTTTCATTTTCTACATATCTTAGAAATTTCCTGGCGTAGAAACAAATTAAAAAAATATGTTTTCATTTCATAATTATTTTAACATTCATCGGGTAATTTCCATTAACATGCATTTTTTAAAATTTCTATCATTAAAAATCATGGAAAATTGAATCTTTTATAAATGAGAAGTCTCTTAATTTCAAAATTTAATGTCCTATTATTGTCTTTAAATAAATAAGACTTAAAAAATTTAAAAAAAACGATAGAATTGTAATTACAAAGCTTTATATACAGTATAATAATTTTTTTAACTAACATTACAGTAAATTTAAATAACCATTAAAATTAAATCAGATTTAACAATGTATAATTTATTAATTTTCCGAATTAACACGCGAAATATATTTTATATATTTATTTAATAAATCTAATATTCCCAAGCTATGTAAACTTGAAGTTACTAGAAAAAAATATGGTTAACAATATCTTGGAAGTAATAAAATACATAGAATAACTGAACAATTCAAACAAATAATATAAAACGCCCTATTACTGTTTGCTTTATAATTGTTTACTTTCTTTGTAATTAAATATTTAAACCCTTAGGAAATATTCCTTATATTAAAATCAATTGAAACATTATTGTTATTTGATGGATAAATCATGTCTTTAAGCAAGTAGTTCTTCAGAGTACTGTCATTACACAATCAAATTAACATATATTTTTAATGAATCATACATTCCAACTTAGTTTAAAATATTTAGTTTGTATTCAGTTGTTTCTGGTGATTTTTATCAATGAAATAACGTAACTTTGCGTGGTTTGCAAACTAAACGACATCCGAAGATTAAAGCATTGATCTCTTCCAAGTACAGTATAATTTAACTCGAGACACACATTCATCACTGGTTTACATTACTCTTAGAGTAAGACATTCAATTGGTAAAACTGTCTCAAACTAAACTATAGTTACAAATTTTGCCATGAATAACCTTGTTGTTCTTATCTGCAGTGAATCCGATAGTGGACATTCATCGGAACTTCCTCCTCCCAATCGCTCTGTAGGAGCGATACCTCCTGATGCCCTTTACGCTTCTCCTAAGAGAAATACTCCAGTCTTGGTTACAGCTACCGAACCTCATTACGAAAATTTAAAGGTGAAGAGCTTTAATGAAAGTCTTTAACTTGATTTTCCTAAGTTGTCGCACTTTGACTATGTTTGGATAATGTTTATTCAATTAGTAAAGAAATTTAGTTTACCAACTTTTCTTAAGGGTATTAAATGCATTTAAAAACAGATTGAACTCGTCCATCAAAATACATCAAATTTAGAAATAAAAAAAATAACAAACTTTTTAAAATGTATTTAACTTAATTAAGATACAGTATAGTTTAGATTTAATTATATTTTTTATCATAATTCTCTATTTTAATTAAGTTTCTGTGACTATTTATTTTTTTTTTCGATTAACGTACTTAATTTGATCCTAAAAATAAATATTTTTGTCATTTTAAGTCCGAACGAGGTAATGGTAGCGTTCTTTATGCACATTTGGATCTGTCGAGCAACGGAAGCGCAAGAAGTATAGCAAGACCGAGACAAGAAATAATTGAATATGCAGAAATCCAATTTCAGCCAAAAGTCAACGACCAAATTGACTTATAATTGTATATAATACTTTGTACAGACATTAAGCAATATCCTAAAGACAATTAAAATATTCTCCATCATTGCATTGATTATTTTTTATGTATTTTTTGTACGAATTTTCATAAATGGAGGTGAATCTCATTGTAAATAATTACAAAAATCTTTGTACATTATCTATTTTTTCAAATAAATTTTATTGTAGATACACTGTATATTATGCTATTCACAGTTTTTACTGTCTGTTAATTTGAAACAAAACTCACATTTATATAACACATAAGTAAATATAATAGTCTAATATTAAATAACCCTGTAGTAGCTTTCTCTCTTTCTCTCTCTTTTTATTTTATTTTTTTAAAATAAAACCTTCGTATTGAGTCACGCAATTATTTAATTTTTAATTATTTTTTATTTTATACAATTCTTTAAAATTAAATATAAATATATGAATTTCGAATATTTAGCTACCTTTTGTTATTACTATCCGTAAAGATTGGAGAAAAAATATAAATAACCAATAAATACAAACAAGATAAGATACATGTTACATTTAGATTTTAATGAATGGATGAAATAAGATGATGGTAATTTAAAAATTCTTTAAAACTTTTATTTAAAGAGTTAAACAGATTATTTTTAATAAAATCCATATCTATAACCTTTATTTCTGATAAATGTAATTAAAACTATTATAATGCAAATTTGTTGTGAATCACTCTTCTTTCTTTTTTCCCTTGCGAAAAAGTAACTTTACAGAATTAATTATACATGTTTCCGTGAATATAGTTTGAACATTAACGATAATATAATTATTAATTTAATAGCTTTACGTAAGATTTATAAATAGTCTATAAATAAATTTATATTTTTATAATTTAATTCGGGAGAAAGTTCTTTGTAAATCATTGGTTGCGAATTATCACATCATTTTCTATTTATTTACTTAAAGTTCAGTTTGAGATTTTTGTTAGATCTCGGACCGAAAATCGTGTCTGGAAATCTCGATGATGTGTCCTTAAGAAACCGTTCGTGAATTCTTTTCCAAATTACAGACAGACACACACATACACACAAATAATAAATAAATAAAAAGAAAGTAATGTAGAGTTAAGAGTCGCAACGTGTTTAAATATCTAGTTTAAAATCTTTAAGAGTAATAAAAGATAGATATATAGGCCTATATACTGTAAAATATATATAGAATGCTGAAGTTAAGAAATATTTTAATTAATATATATTTTGATTGATTTAAAATTGTAATTGAGCTAAAGTTGTCTGTGATTAATATATATAAGAAAAGATATTTTAGCCTTTTACTTATATAATTTGCTTTATCAGACATTTTCTTGCTACTTTTTTACGACCTATATTCGGAAATCAAGAAGCCAAGATGATATCAGGGTACGAAAGATAATGGTATTGAGCTACTTCCATATCAAATTTCAAGTTGTTACAGTGTTCTAACATAATTATATATATATAACAGAAGCACAATTATAAGTTGAAATTCATAATCATGAAAAAGAAAGTGCGAGTTATAATAAATTTAATATATATTTTAATAATATCTTTTACATAAAATATAAAAAATTAGCATATATCAGCACATATATGAGGGATGTACGGAACTTATATCTAGTCAAAAAGACATCTTTTAAATTCGATAGGAATATTTTAGATTGTCATTTGATATAATATAAGTGTAAATTTTTTAAAAAATTGTCCAATATAGTGTTGAAAACTAGAAATGAAAAAAGAACACGAACAGGAAACAAATTCATATGCGATATGAAAAATATTTCTAATATTTTTCCGGCAGTACGTAGCTTTTTTAAATTTAATATTAGACACAATATAATAAAAATTTGACTATGACCAATGAAGAAAGTTTTATAAATTTCGATCTACCTGAAGGATATCGAATAAATCACTTTGTTCGAATAATAATAATAATTCTTTTATAATTTAAAAGAATATTCAGAATATTAAACAAAAGTTTTACTATAAATGTTAATTATAAACAAGAACATAAAAATGGTATTCTTGATATTTAAATGTTTTATACATAACACATTGCCATCTATTCATAAATTATGGAGTAATAAATTGCATATTTAAATATTTATGATATATCTTTCTTCATTACAACTGTTGTATTTTCATTTTCGTTTTTCTCGGCACCTGATGATGCGGATTTGTTTCCAACATCTCATGAAAATAAATGTTTCCAAGAGCTTAGGAATAGATTGTGATTTGAATAATATAGTACTGCATATTTTAGACATAAAAAGTGGGATATATTTGGAATATTTAGAATCTTATGAATTTTTAAAACAAATTTTATTTTCGCATCAACAAGTAGCAACTACATGGATGTTATTTTTTTAAAGGTTAGAGAGTGCAAAAATTTCACCGAAGAATCAATTCTTTAACCAATAGCTATTAGGGAAACATTGAAGATACCAAAAGTGTGCTTTATCATCTTAACCAGAGTTATATTCATTTTGTTTCTGCTATCTTGGTATCTCTCTCATCACCTATTGTTAAAAAGGGATCGATATTAGAATCCGCAATATTTGGAAAAAGAATGTTTCCAGGGAGTTGTCAACCTTATGTTATTAATGGATGCTTCGGGAGGAGATGGTAAGTCTTAGTGAAGACCCTATGAGCAGGTTTATTGTTCGTTTCTACGTATGCCAGCTAAATTACATGGCTTTTCAGTCGCTTACCTCTTTCTCTAGAGCTGCTTGGAAGGAGGTGGAAGGCCGACCATTTATCACAGGTCCCATATATTACAGCAGTTCGCACTTGTAATTGTACTCGCTGCGTGATTAATATGTAGTCAATAGTGGTGTATGGGCTGCCTTCTCTAATCTGCTTGTCAGAGGAACAAAGTGTTTCCTAATTTCCAAGATTTTAAATTTAGTTAATGTGCAGATATTATATGATATATTTTTTTTATGGGATTTCGAAAATCGGATTAATATCAAACTGATTTTAAATGTTATTCATTAAGTCTCCTTGGTGATTTTAAAATTTTCCTTAAACATGTAAGTAGGAAAATATACATTAATAAATTGTTCTTTTTCTTGTCTCCATAAATTATTGAAAATGTGAATAAAAGTCATAATAATGAATGATTTTCGAGGTAATTCTGGATTATTTTTCCAAATATTTTCTCATATAGATAGAAATTTAATATTAAAATAATCAAACGGTTTTAAAAATAACAATTACATTTAGATGGATTTAAAAGTTTAATGTATTATTAAAAATAACTTTTATTCTAATAAAATAATAATTATTATATTACATGTACTTTTAATGAAAACGTACAGGAATAATATGATGTTTGTACTTTTTTGTATATAGTATATACAGTATACATACTATACAGGCCTACTATATAGGCTATATNGTTGGAAACATTTATTATGAAAAACTAAACACATATTTTAAACTTCTATTGATTTATACTTCGATTATAATATAATTTTTTTATTATTCATAATAAAAAAATTGAAAAAGAAGGTTTGTTTTTCATAATCCTAAACAGAGGCTCATATCCTGGAAGTTAAATGCTGAAAACTTTATTCGATCAACTACAACTTTTACAATGAATAATTCATTAACTGTGATCACTTGCATCGAATTACACAAAAAGGTATCCCTGGTTACAGATGCAGTATAATTTATACATTTCACCTAAAAGAAATTTAATATAACAGCTTTCAATTCGTTCTGCGTGTATAAAATTGTTAAGATAATATCATCTGTTTATTAGAAATTTCCACTCGTTATATTTTATTATTAATTGGCACCGTTACCGTAACAGTTTTACTGTTTACTCCGACTGCGATATTACTTCATCTCTTTCTATATAAAGAAAAGGCTGTATGTAATTGTTATTTTCTATTTGTCTCCGGAGTATGATTGCCAGGGACGAAGTTTAGCTGTCAGGCATGATGTTAAATATATCTTTAGTCTCTCTTGTCTCATTGCTCATCCACAACGTAATATTGTCGATGGGTTTCATTTTATGGCTGGACTGTTTCATCACCAGGTTTGTCCCATCTACAGTCTATCGACCACAACGGTTCTTTTTTTACGGCCGTCATATTCATTCCAAACAAACCCAGTTTTTTCGTATCTTTACTGTTTTGACATTTATGAACACTACATCTTGCTTTTCTGTCTTTTGAACAAAGATTCCCTCTGTATTTTTTTCATTCCTTCTTTTAAAAAAATGTATAACTTACTTAAATGTTTATTTTTTTAAAAAATTTCCAAAATAATATGTATTTGTCTATATAAAAATCATAATAATTAAAAACAAAGATTATTTTTAAAATGATGTATCATTTCTCAACATCATCTTCAGTTCATTAAACATCTCATTAGTAAGCATTTTTTTCGTTCCTTGTTATTTAAAATATTGCTTTGTTGTTTCAGTAAACTAATTAATTTTTTCTTAATGAACGTATATTATATGTAAAGAAATAACGTGTATAAATCACTCAAAATTAACGAAATACCAACCGTATGAATTTTAGTAGAATTTTTAATACCATCATTAAAGTACAACATACAGAATTGGTTTAACGTCTATTACATTATGGATGATTGAACATGAATCATCCATGCTTTAGTTTATGTCGACTTATGGATCATTTGCTAATGTGAATATCATTTACAACTGCAGAACAAGATATCAATTTAATGACATTAATCCATGATAATATCAATTGAAAATATTTTTCCACATTAAGCATTATTTAAGTTTACTTAATAAAATTATTTTTTTAAATAATTTTCTAAGGAATGTTAGAATGTGATAATGTATATTTGTTTTTTTTTTAATATTTACTTCCTTACATCCAAATTATTCCGAAATTATTTTTCGATTTAAAGATTAAGTTTTATTATAAGAAATTATAAAGTAATAATTGAAATTATTCGTTATTTTGAAAATTTTAAACAGGCTTAAAAAGAGCTCATGTTTTTCATCAATTCTTTAAATTAAAAATAAATATATCAGTGTAGCATTTTACTTTTTAAATAAATATATATATATATTTGGACATCGAGGAATACTAATGTTTAGTCTTATGTTAAAACGTCATATGACGATAATATAAATTACAAA